GAGGCGACGGCCTGCACGATCAGCTGCGCGTAGCTGTACGGCGGCTTTGCGTCGTCGCGACCTTCGCGGCCTTCGCGCGCCTCCCGACCCTCGCGGCCTTCCCGACCTTCCCGGCCTTCACGACCATCGCGCGACCCGTAACCCGATTCAGAGGTCGTCGATGACGCCTGTAACAGTATGTCATGTTAAATCTACACTTAACCACTTGTCACGTTGGTCACCTGACTGCAATTAGTGTTGTACTAACCGCGTTGCCATTAGAGGTTGGTCGTTGATGGTCAGCGAGTGCGGCGTACTGCGCTACCAAGCCGAGATCGGCATGCCGGCGACCTGATCCACCCGCGCCTCGTGGCGACGTCGGGCAGCTATTAGCCGCACTGATCGTGCCTGTAACACAACAAATACACGTTGAATACGAGCTTTAATACACTTAATGATGCGCATTTACATGATACGAAGTTATATATTTCAGATTTTTCGTTAGAATGTATCATCAATAACCGTTATGCTGGTCTTAGTTATTCTGGATTAGTCATTGATGACCTGCCATTCACTTGATCAAGATTCACAAGTTGAAGACAATTCACAGTTGTCAAGTTTCATGCATGATTACCCAGTAAGGTTCGTGTTACGAACATCTATCTGTTTATATTTGATTGGTTATCTCATAAATAGAGCCAGCAAGAAGATCAAGGCCAATATGTTTAAAATAGGCAAGATTTACATATTTTGCTACTAGCCGACTAAAATAAATTAAGTCTCGATTTATTTTACGTAAAGACAATCTTTATAACCTCTTTTGTGAAACTAATAACAAAGATTTAATATAAAACAATATAATGTATATTTCGCTAGCAATTTTAATTTTTATTAAAGAGGTTCTTTTACAAGAGAAGAAAGGTAAGAAACTGTATTCAGCAAAACTGTAACTTTTAGCACAAGAGCAACAATTAAATCACAATCTATTGAAACTACCTTTAAATGTACCACGTGTTCAATAAACAATATGTCAGTGGAAATAATAAAATACACATACAATGAACGATGCATTTGCCTTCACCCAATTCCTAAACAGGATGGTAAAAAAAGCCTTCATGTGATCGGCCAATGCGCAAAAAGTGTCGTGTCGTGTCGTGCGCAATGTCTAGTTACGATTTCACACGACGACAGCACAATTACACAGAGCAGTAACACTCGACGCCTACATTCTTTACTACCTCGGTATGTGCATTCACAGAATGTCAGTACTGCACTGTCCTACTGCTCTCCATCACCGTTCAGTCATCGTGTGAAAGCATTACTAAGAAACGGCGCGACATCAGGCGAGTACACGCTAGCCATTGATTTACCGCACAAACAAACTGGGTCACTCGACAATTGCCTCACAATATTGACATATCGTCTCAATTAAATAAAGTACTTTTAGAATGAGTTTATTATAACATTGCTATTGCGCAAGCATAAAGCAAGATTGTTAAAAAAGTAATTCTATAAACGGCATTAAAAATGTATGGATAGATTTAAGCTTCGCTGTCAAGGCTACAACTAACAGTGTATTACCTGTGGGCGAGGGCGCAGGGCTACGGGCGTCATTGTCCACTGGTATGGTGATGCGCAGCGGCGGCAGCGGAGCGCCCGAGCCGCCTGCACCGCCGCCGCTCTCCTCTACCAGCGACTGGAACTCCAGGCGTATATTCGTCGAGGGGAAACGGAGAGTGCATCTGAAATTATACACAATATTGCTTACTAACGTGACTCCTTATGTCGTAAATATTTCGATGATATAACAATCTCTTTTATATTCACTAAAAAATTACACAGCAATCTTTATCTATACTAATATTATAAAGAGGAAAGATTTTTATTTTTGTACGTATTGGAATACTCAAAAACTACTTTGCTAATTTCAGAAAGAAAATTTACCGTTAGAAAGGTAATTTACCTGTAACATAGGCCATATCTTTTTTTATTTTTTTAATTTCACGGGTACAAAGTCGCGAGCAACAGCCAGTACCATATACAAATCTTTCTTCTTGCATCGTCATATTTTCAGTCGACTATCAATTAGAATGTACTCAAGGGTAACAAACTAATGTTTACAATTGTGTAATCTTAGCAAGTAGTAAATAATAACATAATTAGTACACAAGCAACATAAATAACGTACAAGTTACACATTGAGATGAACTAATGTGTCCAATCGGCTCAATCATTAGTTAACATCAAAGCGCCACAGGTCAAATAACAATCAAGCAGCAGCCAATCAAACCGCTTTAGTATACGAGGACATTTATTTCCTATCCAATTCGGTAAAATATCATTTGATGCTCACAAACAATTACGTCAAAACATCAAAGCATAACTGTTAAACTTTAGCTCTTATGGTTGCTATCCCGTGGGTGGCAAATTAATTTCTTCGACTTTGTACAAGACCAAGGAAATTAATGTAATTAAAATATCTTAAGGATATAAGGGGAAATTTAAGATTAACCCCATTGGTAGGGAAATTAAGGAGTAAAAGGTTAGCATAGTATGGGCACGGAGGGATGAGTCCCATGTAACTAGACGAACTTTAGTTAGTTAGAGGTAGACTTAGACAGGATAGATTTCAAAGAAAGGCTTGTGAAAGGTGACATGATCAAGAGAGTGAAGACTGAGATGACGGAAAATACTTACGTGGAGGACGAAGTCCTCTCGTGCCGACCTTACAGTAGTAGGATAAGGGGCGGAATATAATGATGGTCTTATAAAATGATTAGGTGGTTCAGGTACACTAAATGGAAAAACATCCATCACTTCGTAGACACCAGCAATAAGGTGCTTTAAAGCAATTTATTTAACTAAAACTATAGGGGTGCGCAATGCAACGCAAGTCATTTCTACTGAATCCCGTATCTATCGATCTAGTAACCACAGGGTTGCGAGTCGGCGGACACTTTTCCATAATTCCCGGTATTTGCGCGGACGTTGGCGTGTTTGTCGCTGATTGTAATTATGCATGACGTCATTATGTTAACTTCAACTATCGATCGTTATTATCACATTACTTGGTGTTGCTCGCGACTTCGCCCGCGTGAAATTAAAAAAATAATAAAAATACATAGCCATGTTACGGATAACGTAGCATTTTATGGTGAAAGAATTTTTGAATTCGACCCAGTAGTGTTTATGTTATTGGTATTTTAACCCATTCAAAAATCCAAACATGCAAATCTTTCCTCTTTATAATATTAGTAGAGATCGCATCGCGCCGTTCTTTCGACTAAGTTGGACTCCAAAACTTCGTGACCGTTGTACTAAAAAAACAACTGACTACGACATTATATAAACAAGGTGGTTTTATAACGATATTCGAGTAAACAATAACAAGTGTGACAGTACTTACAAAAGAATGGTATTATATATCATGCACAAAGGTATTATGGTTTATTATCAAATGGCCGCAAGTTCGCGTGTATCAGGTTGACTGGAGATATTAAAATTTAAAAACTTCGTTGGCAGGGTCTCTACGAACCCTCAACGCGTTAAGTCGTAATGAGCGTTGTACGGTTTACCCCACTTTACCTTGTTATTCGAAAGGGCGCAATGTACGCTGTTAAATTATTTACATCGCGATTAATATATTTGCCGCAATACAATGTTGCTATCAATAAAGATAAGTAAAATTGAAGGTAAAAGTCCGTAATAAATTTAATGATATGTTTTGAAAATAAGGCCTGAGTCATGCTTGCCAGCAATATTCTCTTAGATACAAAAATCTTATCGATACGTTATATTATTTTAACGCTAAAGATTCGCAATTATTCCCAACAGGTGACAATTTCAGTTTGTTGACTCTATGGCTAAAATTAAAAATAGACCATCGCCTGACAAAGAGTATGTGAAGAATATGCTCTTACCAACAATTATAATGAATACTAGCTATTGCCCTCGACTCCGTCCGCGTGGAATTAAAAACAAAGTATGTGTTCCTTTAGACTATCCTTTATGTTTATGCCAAATTTTATCGAGATCCATTCACCAGTTTAAGTTACAAACTCTAACAAACATCCATCCAAGTAAATTTTCGCATTTATAATATTAGTAAGATAATAAGATGTATTTATTACAATCGGCTGGATTTCCCGACTTAGTGCGCCACGCGGATAAGTAAACAAAGGTTGCGCGTGTATCCAATTATACACGCGACACGCACAATACAAATATATGTATAAGATGTACGGAATTACCCGTGAAATTCCGCTCATACTGAAATAACAAAATCAAACCAACAATATTGGCAAAACTCTGCAACGAATGCTTTGTCTATGCTACCTGTACAATTAAAAAACATTCTGTTTTAATGTAAACACTGGCACAAAATAAAAAAGCAATAAAAATGCATAGTCATCCACGCATGCACCGGCGACGACGACCGGCGAATCAATAACTCGAGCGCCTTGTTTACGACCGAGCGCGTTGGACGCCGCTAACGCTTTGTTTACTTAACTACCGTACGAATCGAATTCAACTCTACGAGTAACTAATAAGGTTTAAAATACCTTGCATCACTGTTCGGTATGTGGACACAGGAAAACATTGGACTCAATTTTTGCCAATGACCGCATAAAAACATAATGGCGCTAGTGTAGATTATGAAATGCACGAAATTGCACAAAAGCAATTTCACCTCAACGATCTGAGCGTGCAGTACAATGCACGTGGCGTTTTGCTTTGTTGCGTTATGAATCAAATCGGTAAACTGTGCCTAGAAGCTAACTAAATGGGTCGAGGCCTCGGACAAGAAAATCAAGTACTCTACTTGACCAAGTTCCTTTACCCATTTGAATAGTCGCCTTAATTTCCTTTTTAAATACATAAGTAGTGCTTTAAGGAATCATTTAAAGACAAACAAACAAATGTTTGCAGCAATTGTAGTTACTACAACTATAAAACTGAAGTGGTTCAAGTTCGACACCTTTGTATATTTTACCAAAGGGAAAATTATCTGCAGGTAAGTTGCGTAGATATAACTTGAAATAATTAACAAATATACTGAAATTCTGACTAAAATTTAACCACACTCTGTTATTCGATGCCTTAATAATTACGTACTGTCTGATTCACAGGCAATATTCTACGTAGTCAATGCTCCAACTTGGTAGTTCAGAGGCGTCGGTAGGTCAGGATAAATGTCTCCAAACAACGAAAAAGATAACATAAGTCTTTACAGTAGAGTCTACAATCGTTTGGATGGTAGTTTCCAGCGTATCGATCGAGAGTTTTCCACTAAACTGTGGCGTCCTTCACCCCGTGCCCTTATATTTCCCGACAGTTTCGTGGCGCGCCATGTTTTCCTTATGTTACGAATTTATTGATATCCCGTGACATACTACGTGATACTGTTCGAAAAGTCGTTGGAAAATCTTTGTAGACAAAACATTGAATATTTAAGAATATTCTACTCAGAATATACAATGCTATAAAGTATTGTGTGCGAAGATAAACTTAAAAGAGAGTGAATTCAGATGTGACGGCTGATAGAAATGTATGGAAGGGCAGCACATACTGTCTACCCTACGTTGGGGCAAGGGAAAATTGATGACGATTATATTACAATATTATAATTGAAAAGTCTCAGAAAATTATGACTACATCAACAATAATAATGTTTGTCAAATCAATAATAACTGCTGACGTAAATAACGTGATAGATTCGTTTTGTTACAAAGTTTTTACAAAAAAAAAGTAAAATATAGAGATTAAATTTACATAGATTCCATTATAGATACTGAGCGGATAAAAAAGTAAAACAGCAAGCAGCGTCGAATCGCGTTTCAAGAGGAATTACGTCCGTCTAGGAGCGAACAATAGTCGGAGCGGGGAAGCGTCCGGTTGAAGGGGTAAATCCTTTACGTCACTTTCTGAGAACGTATATAGAGGTAGAACCTGACGGACACAAAGAATATTCTCGTCTATATTATTAAACATCGTCTATTCTAGTAAATATCGTTGAAATTGATTTCCAATAAATTCGCTATTGTCAATGAGACATTTTTTTCATTTCGTATCTCTTCAAACCAGAAATACACCAGTAAACTGTCGTAGTAACTAACATCTAGAACAGCAACGTGCCAGCTACTAGTACAATGCGTTCACACATGCCAGTTACATTTCTACTACCCCTGCCTCAATTCATCGTACTAGGTACTGGCATGCAATTACGTTCACAGTTGCCAGTTACTGGTACGTATCAGTAGCTGGAATAAAATGTGCTAGCTACTTAAATCTGTATTCCTGCCTTTATTTGTATGACATATGGAGGCACGCCACATTGTGATGTCTCATCGCCTGTGTTGCATTACCTCTCTTCATACAAAGTAACATCACGCATGTCC